GGGGGTGTAGTTTTAGTAACAGTTATATTTATGGCATTTGCAACACAAATAGGCTATATGCATGCCAAGGATTTGTGGTTTATTTTAGTAAGAGATTTATGGCACTTGCAACACAAAAAGGTCAAATGTATACTGAATATTGCGTTATTATTAGATAGTTACATACATAGAAAGGAAGGAGGAGAGATTCAGACTACACCTAAGAGGTACCTATCTCACAACTGGAAATACTTCCTCCCACTGTATATGACCTCTTTGTGACTAAAGTCCACTGACCTATTGGCCATCCTAAAAAAAAAAGGAAACCTCTCTGAGAGCAGCAGACAAGAGGAACTGACATGTTTCAAGACATAAAAAAGTTGTCATAATGTGACAGGAATGTAGTCATGATGAAGAACATGTCATTCCTTCACCTCATCTGCCAAGAAACATCAGTGACAACAACCTATTTTATGAGAATTTTAGTTTTAGTTTTAGTTTTAGTAAAAGTTTCACCACACTTGAAACATAAAGAGGTCATAATATAAATGCCAAAGATTAAAGGTGTCACTAGAGAGTAAAATTTTTTTTTAAAAGAGAGAGAGAGAGATAAGGAGGGATAGATTTTGAAAGAAAAGTAGGGGCAAACCACAACAGAGCACCCACCAACCACCCACTTTTTCCTTATCTCTTTTGATTGTCTCAGTCTGAGTAAAGAGAAGAATATTGATACAAAAACAGCCATTCAGCGAGGGCAAAAGGTCAGTCAGACAGAAACTATGGAGGGAGAGAAAAGAAGTAGGACTTGGTTACCAGCTGCGACTTCCAACCACCCCCACGACGTGCCCAGTATAATTAAGGCTGCCTTAAACTGACATAATTCACACCTGACATGACTTTCTGGAAGCCTGTTCCGTTGAAGAAGACTGACTGAATATTGCCTTGCTGGATGTCACTGAAGAAGATTCGTTGAGCCGTGTAGTCAAAGGCTAGCCCAATGACATTCTTCATCCCAGTCCCGTTGCTGATGGGTTTGCGCGGGGCATTAGGGTTGGTGGAGTTGTCCAGCAGGAGACTCTTGAGAGAGGTCACCTCCGAGTACAGCAGGAAGGCATCGTATGCTGAAATGAACAATCACACACATATACAAACGTACAAACATACACTGAGAATCATACAAAATGACTCATAATTATCCATACACTGAGAATCATACAAACGATTTATAATTATCCACAAGCTTCTGCAAAAACATTATAATGATTACAGTGTTCCAGAGACACATCGCATGCACACACATGAATGCACACACATGTGCGAACGCATGCATGCAAACACACACGTGCACACAAGCATGCACACATACACAAACACACACATACACGTGCGCACGCGCACGCACGCACCCACGCACACAGATAAAACAGACACGTAGAATACACTGACTAAACACTAAACAGATAAACCAACCAGACGGGTCAAACAGACAGGCCTATTAACTTTCACCTACATTGACAAGTCCTTCCATCCTCAGCTAGTTCAGTATAGGAGCATGCACATGTGGCGGCACCCTCGCCACGGTACAGACATAGCTCCTGGCAACCTCCGTTGTTCTCTTTGCATTTATTGCTTCCTGCAAACAGTGGACAGAACATGGGAAGATTTCAGAAAATGCAAACAGTGCGCTACCTTCAGAAGTTCTCTCCTTGTCAGGTCATGCCTACACTTTTCTCCAGCCCTTCTGTACATTTTTAATCAAGTTTCAGCTGAGTTCCTCGTCAAAGTCACACATTGCCTATATATCACCCACTTGAAGGAGACATACAGAATGAGCAAAGCCGACACATCCCTATTACAAGCAAGGCAGATATTTCCAGAGGGAAAGGGGCTTTAAACCAAACACATTAACTCATTTTCAATCCACAAAGAATGGAGATTCAAATAACAATAACATATTTTTCAGTTTTTTCCCCTAACGTATTGACATTTGACCACAGGAATAGATCTGCCTGCCTGTTTTCATGTTTATCATTGGTCGTCATAACAGCAAAAAGACGAAACAATCCTTCTCAGAGTTGGGTGGGGGGAGAGAGAGAAATGAGGGGGTTGCCACCTCCATTACAAATCAGTTTGAGCTGTAAATAGCTGACAAAAAAGACTGACATTTGATTTGACATATAATATGTAACGGTGAAAAATTGTTTTTAAAAAAGCTTCTACATTTACTATTTTTCATGTGCTACCTTATTAACACTACCCCCCACCTCCACACAAGCCCCTACCTGTTTGCACTTTAGCGTCGAAGACCTTGATGTCCTTGAGGTTGGTGATGTTCTGTTTGAGGACTTGGATACCCTTCACTCCGTTCTTGTGGACGTACTTGATGGAACCGTTCAGGTCCGTGCTGTGGACCACATAACGTAAGTGTTTTTACACCCCTATCGACACATAGATTGTTCCTAGATAACACCTAAGATAGTAAAAGTATGAACAGCTCATAACCCATTCAGGAAAAAGAAACACTTTGCAGCTTTTTAATGGTAAAAATGGACACGCTGAAAAAACAAAAACCCCAGGGTCCTACCTGTCTGCGTAGTAGACATCGTCTCCGTACACAGCCAAGCTCATACAGTCGGTGAGGTTGATCGCCAGCAGCGTATGCCTCTCCCCTGCAGGGCTGACCCTCTCAATCTTGTTCAGGTCCTTGTCACACCAGAAGAGGTCATCCGTCTCGTAGTCAACGGCCAGACCGTAGGGCGACTTGACCGGCATGTCCTCGGTGGACACAACAAAGTCTTCTCGTTCAGAGCCATCGAGTCGAGCCCGCACAATCCTCGGGTAACTCCCTCTGTCAGCGAAGTACATGTAGCTGTGGGAAGAGAGACGGAGATTTAGAGTCCAACATGGCTTTTCACTTCACGAACGTCCCTGCAGAAGAGCTTGGATGGTGAAAACAGGTTTCGTTTTTGGTAATTTTTTCACTGCTCACAAAATATCTAAGGCAATTCCAAAGAGGTACTCTAAGATATGCATTCAGTTCTATCAGCCCTGATTTCTCTCCCCCCCCCCCCCCCCCCCCAAAAAAAAAAATGCAGTATGAAAGAGAAGCACATAACTACACAGGGACCATATTACTCGTCACATCTCACCAGTCATGTGGTTACTTACAAAACTTACAAATGCACACTGAAATTTTATTTGATTAACTTCTGTCACCAATGAATCACCAGCACATCACCAACAAATTACCCATACATCATCAAAAATTTTCAAAGACATCCTCAATACATCATCAGAACATGATCAAAATCCAGACATTGTCATTCTGACCAATCGTATCATTACAAAGAAATGTAACTCCCCACACAACTTACGCATGCATGCACACGCACACAAGACCATGCACGTACGCACGCACAAACACACACGCATACACGCACACACAAACACACACAATACATACACACAGCAAACACACACATAATTACACCAATAACAAGGCTAAAAATGGGAGCTTGGTACCCTCCAGATTTAGGACAAAAATCCACAAAGTTTGTTTTTTTCTTGTTGTTGTTTTTTTTTAAATAAAAATTTAACAGCACTCACGACTGCATAAGGTCATATGAGCTCATGGGACACATTAAACATTTAATTTTCATTTTGTAGAAAATTTTGAATTTCGCACTGGTGGCGGGTGAAGCCTACTCTTATCAATTTTGGGCCACAAGGGATCTTCAACACGCACAACTTGCACACAGGACCTCCAAGATTTTTCCCCCTTATCCGAGAAGACTAGGTGTAGATCTTGCCTACCACAAGATCAGGTGTGTGGCTGAAAGACAGCAGTAAGAAGGAGTCAAGGAGTAGCAGTAGAAAGGCTGCAGAAAGAGTCAGGAGCCCAGAGGAGGGGGCAAAGGAGGTGAGGGGGTGGGCACAGAAAGTGGAGAGCAGACGACAGAACACGGTTAGAGAGCAGGAAAGGATGCGAAAGGAAAGCATTTTAGGGACGATAATTTTCCGTTGCTCTCCGGATTCGAACCCAGGACCTATTGAATGAGAGGCGAACACCGTATCCTCTATACCACAACACACACCCCCCCTACAATCAGCCAAATGCCGAGAATATAGGACACAAAGAGTAATCAGCTACTACATACCCCTTGGTTGGGTGCAGCTTGATGGAGCCTGGTTTCTCAATGTTCTCATGCATGAGCACATATCTCTTGGAGCCATCCAGCTTGGCTACTTCGATGGTACCATGGCCCTGGTCAGTCCAGTACACATTATCTGAGGAAACACAACACAGGGATGGATGGGTTAGTAAGTACGCGCACACACACACACACACACACACACACACACACACACACACACATACAAATACACTCTCAGACAAATATATGGACGGGTATACAAACACAAACACGTTAACAAACATACACACACTTACTTACTTTCAAATATGCAAATGTGTGAATGGACACACACTTGCACGCACACTCAAAGATATCCACTCACACATACCCAAAGGTATCACATGTACACACAAAGCACGCGCATCTACACACACACACACACACACACGCAGGACACACACACACACACACACACACACACA